CTCTCTCTCTCTCTCTCTCTCTCTCTCTCTCTCTCTCTCTCTCTCTCTCTCTCTCTCTCTCTCTCTCTCTCTCTCTCTCTCTCTTATTTATTTTATTCGGGGTTTTGATAATCCTTGGCTTATTCGTACTAGCAGCTCCACCCGAACTGGTTTCTGCAATGCGCCTATCATGACTACATCCCAGTGTCGGTGCGAATACCCTGACAAGGGTATCCGCCCTAGTTTATGCAGGCAACAGGGAGTAAGTTTAAAAGTCTAAGTATGCGGCGCGAGTCGCGACTAATTCCATTGGGTTACACTGATAGGATGGGTGACTAGAGTAAAACATGAGTGAGCGCGCAGTTAAGGCGCGCGTGTGATTTTTTTCTTTTGATTAAGCAACCAGCGTAGTTGACCGGCCTAATGTTTGCCCTAGGTCAAGTTAAGGAGTAGCGGTTTTTCCTAGGATTGGCGAGTCTGACCGGTAGTAGGCTAGGATGCGAGGCAGCCACTGGCACAGGTTGGACAGGCCAGCATAGAGGCCTATCGGCCGTGCGCTCGGCTATAGGAGAGAGTGCGGCCCTGGCTGTTTTCCCAGGCCCGGGCGTGGCGCCGTACCATCTTTTATTGTGTTTCTCGCAAGCCAGTCCCAGGCTTGGGCTTAGCCCTATAGGTTGCGGTATTGGGCGAAGGTATGGGGTTTGAGGCCAGCGGGCGTCGGCACGGGAGCAGCGGTGCGTTGGAAGGGCTGAGGGGTTGAGGGTCCCGCGGGACTATCCCCCTTGGTTTTGTCAGGGGAGTCTGATCGCGGGCCCGCCTGACAGGGCCGAGGAAAGCATTGGTAAGTCCTGCACCCCGGTCCCCTTAGTCTTCCCAAGTTTTTAGTTTTTTTTGTGTGTTTAGTTTTATTATTTTTCGTTTGTTTTGCCTGGGCCCGACACAAGTTTCGGGCCCGGTAGTAGGCCCACAAAGACCCAGCACGGTGGGTACATCCATGAGCTGTTGAAATGCAGGCGCAGGCCCGAACCCAGATGAGGGAACTTGATGAGCAAGACCCAGCAGTGGGAGTTGTCGGGGCCACCCAGGCCTCGGTGGCACTGCGGGGCGCTGCCCCAGCTGGAGTCCTTCGGGATATCCGCTGAAGCTGAGACGATACAAAGGAGAGTAGCATAGCCTCTGCGTGGAGGTATCATGCATAAAAGTCGGAAGAGCCCGATGAGTCAGGCTTCCCGTTGTGTATTCTCCCTGCCGAGGTTGTATCGGACGAGCGCTAAGCAAGCCGGTCGGAGTGTAAGGCAGCGGGCGCTAGTAAAGTGGGACGACGGGCAGCAGAAAAGAATAAGGGAGGAAATGAACCCGGCCGTGGAACTTGCCAGGTTCGGTTGAAATCGAGGTGGAAAGAGCAGCTGAGCGCCAGGGAGCAAGGGGGATCCGGCCAGGCAGCGTTGGGCAGCGGGGGAGGCTGACGAGCGAAGAAACGGGCGCAGATAGGGACAACAGGAAGACAGGGAAGTGAAAGTGAATGTAGGCGCAAATTTGCGCCGGGTGCATTCGGAAAAGACGATGGCAGTAGATCAGTGAGGCGGCAGGGTGAGCTCATAGCTCGCCCGTTTCTCGTCAGTTTTGGGCAAGAGAAGAGGCGTTCCCGAGGTTCTTGCCCCGGGCGAGTTACGTGGTGGAGTTAGAATTGGCGTTAAAGTAGTAGAATGAAGGATAGGTGAGGTAGAGGGTGCGTGAGCTATGGTGGAGCCAAGAGAGGGGAAAATAGGAAAAACACTTACCTCCCTCGTTTCCAAATGGGATTGGGCGAGGGAGGACTCGGATCCGAGGTTCGTAGGGCGGGCGACCCCGAATTCGTATTCAGTAGAGTGTGAGTGTTAGTGTACGAGTAGGTTAGTAAGGAAAGATGTGCGCTAAGGCAACGGGATCGTGATTATGATGAGAGGGAAGGTTGTTCAGCTCGCACGTTTCTTGATAGACACGGACGAGCTAAGACTCGCTTCGGGGGTTTTTATGTCAGGCGAACCCGAATGTAATGTTAGATTGAGTAGAAAATTAGTTGAATGAGAATTAGTAGAGAAAACGAGTGCGCAGTGAGGTCGGGAGAGAGGCTTTGCCGGGAGTAGGAATCGAGATGTCGGTCGGTTCTTTATGAAAGCGAGTAAACAAAAGTGCAGGATAAGGGGTTCTTGACCACCCCGAATTGGATGGCGGGGTCAGTTTGAATGTTAGATCGGTAGAATGAGGGTCAGAAGAGAAAGGGGGTGCGCCAGAATGACCGAGAGGAGAAAAGCCAGAAACAGGCTCGCATTGTGAATTCAGGGAGTAGGGGAGCGAGTGGCGATTTACCTGGTCAGCGCATCTGTGACCACCGGGAAGTGAGGACCGCCAGATTCGTGCAGGGAAATGGGGAAGAAGTCGACCTACCATAGCGGAAGCCAGCGCGTGTTCGGCCTTGGCAATAGCATGAGTCTGGGCTACACCTGCATACACGGCCTGTGGGGGAAAGTTATGTATCCTACCTGCCCGGAAGCACGGGCCAAGAGGCTCAGCAGGCTGCGAGATAGTGGGTACTAGCTCATGTGACGGGGGATTGAGGGAGGCAACAAAGTGGGAAGGAGACTCAGGCGCAAAGAAGGACAGAGCCGTGGGGCATTGCTTCCAGAGGTACACGACTAGGCGCACGCGGGAGTGTGGTCGGATCGGGTAGGGGGTCGGTGGAAGGAGTAAGATCGAAGAGAACAGACAAGGGTATGGAGAACAGAGAAAGGGGGGGAGACGTGTCGAACGCACTTACTCATTCCGGAGCAAGAGTAGGCTGAAGAAGATTC